TTTATTTTCCTTATTTATTCTAAAATAGCTTATTTTATACTGAAGTATAGTTGATTTACATTGATGTGTTAGTTTCAGCTATACAGCAAAGTGATTTAGTTATACACAGTACATATTGCCAACATTCGCTGGACCATAGAAAAAGAAAGGGAATTCCAGAAAGACATCTACCTCTGTTTCATCAACTACACCAAAGCCTTTGACTGTGTGGATCATAACAAACTGTGGAAAGCTCTTAAAGAGATGGGAATACCAGACCGTCTTACCTGTCCCCTGAGAAACCTGTATGCAGNGGGAATACCAGACCGTCTTACCTGTCCCCTGAGAAACCTGTATGCAGGTCAAGAAGCAACTGTTAGAACCCTGTATGTAACAACTGATTGGTTCAGGATTGAGAAAGAAGTATGACAGGGCTGTCTGTTGTCACCCTGTTTAACTTACACGCTGAGCGCATCATGAGAAATGCCAGGCTGGATGAGTTACAAGCTGAAATCAATATAGGTGGGAGAAACATTGAGAACCTCAGATATGCAGATGATACCACTCTAATGGCAGAAAGCAAAGAGGAACTAAAGAATCTCTTGATGAGGGTGAAGGAGGGCAGTGGAAAAGCTGGCTTAAAGATAAATATTAGTATAAATATTAAAAAAACTAAGATCATGACATCCAATCCCATCACTTCGTGGCAAATAGAAGGGAGAAGGGTGGAAGCTTCCTCTTCTTGGGGTCTAAAATCACTGAGGACAGTGACTGCAGCCATGAAATCAGAAGACGATTGCCTCTTGGCAGGAAAACCATGACACACCTCGACAGTGTGCTGAAAAGCAGAGACATCACTCTGCGGCAGAGCTCTGCACAGTCGAGACTATGGTCTTCCCAATGGTCATGTACAGTTGTGAGAGCTGGGCTGTAAAGAGGGCAGATCACCAAAGAATTGATGCCTTTGAACTGGAGAAGACTGAAGAAGACTCCTGAGAGTCCCCTTGGGGATCAAACCGGTCAATTTTAAAGGAAATCAAGCCTGAAGATTCACTGGAAGGACTGATGCTGAAGCTGATATTTTGGTCACCTAATGTGAACAGCCAACTCATTGGAAAAGTCCCTGATGTTGGGAAACATTGAGGACAGAGGGTGTCAGTGAGATGGCTGGATGGCATCACTGATGCAATGGACATGAACTTGAGCAAACTTCAGGAGATGGTGAGGAACAGGGAGGCCTGGTATGCTGCAGTCCTTGGGGTCACAAAGAGTTGGCTACAACTGGGTGACTGAACAACAACAGTACATATATTAATGCTGTTTCAGATTCTTTTCCCAAACAGATTATTATGGAGTATTACATTCAGTTCCCTGTGCTATATATTAGGTCCTTGTTGATTATGTTTTATACATAGTAGTGTGTATATATATGTTAATCATAACCTCCTAATTTATTCCTACCCATAGCTTTCCCCTTTGTAACCATAAGTTTGTTTTCTAAGTATGTGAGTCTGTGTCCATTTTTTAAGTTCATTTGTATCATATTTAGATTTCACATATAAGTGGTATCATGACAGTTGCCTTTGTCTGCTGGGCTTACTTCCCTTGGTATAATGATTTCTAGGTCCATCCATGTTCCTTTAAATGGCACTATTTCCTTCTTTAATGGCTGAGTAATATTCCATTGTGTATATATACCACATCTGTTGATGGACATTCAGATTGCTTCCATGTCCTGGCTGTTGTAAATAGTGCTGCAATGAACACTGCTCTGCATTTACTCTTTCCTAGTATGGTTTTCTCTGAATATATGCCCAGGTGTGTGAATGCTGGATCATATGGTAGTTCTGGTTTCTTAAGGAACCTCCATCCTGTTCTCCATAGTGGCTGTACCAATTTGCATTCCCACCAACACGGGTAGGAGGGTTCCCCTTTCTCCACAACCTCTCAAGCATTTATTGTTCACAGACTTTTTGATGATGGCCATTCTGACAGCTGCGAGGTGATACTTCATTGTAGTTTTTATTTGCATTTGTCTAATAATTAGTGATATTGAGCATCTCTTCACCTGTTGCTTTTTTTTTTTATTTTTTGGTCACCTGGATGTCTCCTGTAGAGACATGTCTGTTTGGATATTCTGCCCATATTTTGATTGCATTTTTATTTTTTTATTGAGCTGTATGAGCTGTTCATACCCTTTGGAGATTAATCCCTTCTGGTCACATGGTTTGCAGATATTTTTTTCCCATTCTGTGTTTTGTCTTTTTGATTTCAATGGTTTCCTTTGCTGTGCAAAACTTTTGAAGTTTAATTACATCTCATTTGTTTGTTTTTATTTACCTTACTCTATGAGGTATATGTGAAAAGATCTTGCTGTGTATATGAAAAGATTCTTGCTTATCTCAAAGAATGTTCTGCCTATACTTTCCACCAAGAGTTTTATAGTGTCTGGACTTACGTTTAGGTCTTTAATCCATTTTGGGTTACTTTCATGTATGGTCTTAGGAATTGTCCTAATTTCATTCTTTTACTTGTAGCTGCCCATTTTTTCCCAGCACCACTTATTGAAGAAACCATCTTTTCTCATTGGTATATTCTTGCCTCTCGTCATAAGTATGAGACGATAGGTGCATGGGTTTATTTATAGGCTCTATCCTGTACCACTGACCCATATTTCTGTTTTTTTGCCAGAACTGTACAGTTTTGATTACTGTAGTTTTGTAAGTAAGTGTTAGTCACTCAGTCATGCCTGACTCTTTGTGACCCCATGGACTACAGCCCACCGGGTTCCTCTGTCCATGAGATTTTCCAAGCAAGGATACTAGAGTGGGTTGCCATTTCCTTCTCCAGGGGATCTTCCCAACCCAGGGATCGAACCCAGGTCTCCTGCATGGTAGGCAGATTCTTTACCAACTGAGCCACAAGGGAAGCTGTAGTGTAGTCAGGGACCCTGATTCCTCCAGCTCCATCTTTCTTTCTCAAGATGGTTTGGCTACTCAGGATCTTTTGTGTTTCTATATAAATTCTAAAATTTTTTGTTCTAGTTCTTTGAAAAATGTCATTGGTAGTTTGATAGGGATTGCATTACATCTGTAGACTGCTTTGGGTTGTATAGTCATTTTCACAATATTGATTCTTCTAAGCCAAGGATATGCTCTATCTCTCCATCTGTTTGTGTCATCTTTCTTTCATCAGTATCTTATAGTCTTCTGAGTACCGGTCCATTGCTTCCTTAGATAGGTTTATTCCTGGGTATTTTATTCTTTTTGATGCAGTGGTAAATGGGATTGTTTCCTGAATTTCTCTCTCCGATCTTTCATTGTTAGTGTATAGGAATGCAAGAGACTTATATGTATTAATTTTGTATCCTGCAACTTTATCAAATTCATTGATAGGTTCTAAAAGTTTCCTGGTGGCACCTTTGGAATTTTCTATGTATAGTATGATGTCATTTGCAAACAGTGACAGTTTTGCCTCTTCTCCAATTTGGATTCTCCATTTTTTTTCTGATTGCTGTGACTAGGACTTTCAAAAATATGGTCAATAATAGTGGTGAGATTGGACATCCTTGTCTTTTCCTGATATTAAAGGAAATGCTTTCAGTTTTTCACCATTGGGCATGATGTTTGCTATGGATTTGTCATATATGGCCTTATTATGTTAAGATTGGTTCCCTCTCTGCCCACTTTCTAGAGTTTTTTTTTTTAATCATAAATGGGTGATAACTTGTCAAATGATTTTTCTGTATCTATTAACATGATCATGTGGTATTTGTCTTCTCTGATGTGGTGTATAACCTGGATTGACTTACATATGTTGAACCATCCTTGTGACCCTAGCATGAATCCAAGGCGTTCATGGTGTTTGATCTTTTTTATGTATTGGATTCTGTTTGCTAATATTTTGTTGAGAATTTCTGCATCTATATTCATCAAAGATATTGATGTGTAATATTCTTTGTAGTGGTGTCTTTTTCTGGTTTTGGTATCAGGGCGATGGTGGCTTAATTGAATGTCTCTGGGAGTGTTTCCTGCTTTTGTCTTTTGGAAGAGTTAGAGAAGGATCAGTGTTTAAAATTTTTCTTTGTATGTTTGGTAGAATTTGCCTGTGAAGCCATTTGTAAGGAGTATCTTTTACTACCTATGCTATTATTTTTGTTTTCGTCACTCTAAGAGGTGGGTCAGAAAAGATCTTCCTGTGCTTTACGTCAGCAGGTGTTTTTCCTGTGTTTTCCTTTATAGTGTCTGGTCTTACATTTGTCTTTAATCCATTTGAGTTTATTTTAGGGTATGGTCTTAGGAGAGTGTTCTGATTTCATCCTTTTACTTGAAGCTGTCCAGTTTTCCCAGCACCAGTTATTGAAGAAACTCTTTTCTCCACTGTATATTCTTGCCTCCTTTGCCATAGACAAGGTGACCACGGTGGCTGGGTGTATTTCTGAACTTTCAATGCTCTTCTATTGATCTGTATTTGTTTTTGTTTAGGCCCGTACTCTTGATTACTGTAGTTTTGTAGCATAGTCTGAAGTCAGGGAGTCTGATTCCTCCAGCTTAATTTTTCTTTCTCAAGATTGCTTTGGCTGTCCAGCATCTTTTGTGTTTCCTTACAAACTGTACACATTTTTGTTCCAATCCGGCCCTCACACATTTAGTGGGCCTCTTTGCTCTGTTGTCGCTGCACGTCAGGGGCAGGGCCTGCTCCCGAGTCGTTGGAGTAGAAGCCTCGGTTCCACTTTTGAGCTTCAGGGAAAGGGAGACAGACCTGGAGAGCTCCTGCTGGGAGAGGAGCCTTGGCTGGGGCACTCCGTCCCTGGAGCTGTCTGCTGTGGGGTGCATCCTGTGGTCTCACCTGCACAGGCTCACAGGGTGAACTGTCAGCAACACCATTGGCACCGCCTCCACTGGGAATGCAGTCACGTGGCCCTGGTGTCCCTCAGGCGCTGTGGTTACAAGGCCACCAGCAGAGACCCTTAGGTACCCATCCCCTGAAGTTGGGTGCCGGCTCATGTACCTGGAGCCAGCATGGGAGCTGTGGAAGCCTCCCAGCCCCACCTCTGCATGTACGGGCCACTAAGCCCATAGCTGCTGAGGCCAGACTGGTGCCAGGCATGGGAACACCTACTGTCCTGCTCCTAGAGCTCCTGATGAAAGAGGCTGTTATGGCAGGCCATGCCCACCCCTTCACATGCCCTTTAGCAATGGCACTTTGCTGCTGGGGTGGGTCCAGGCTTTTTCTGCAATCACACTTTAGCCCCTTCAGGCTGTCTCTGTGTAGCCAACCTGTGCTCTCCCTGGGCTGTCCTGAACCCCCGAGTTTCAGCACCCAGCCCCTGCGTGTGCCGGTATGTGTGCATCTTGGGCCGCGTACTGCAGCAACGTAGCACCGATCCTCTTTGCTGGTCTGTCTTCTGCCTGCTGCCACCATAGCCAGAGCACCGGTCAGTATGTGCTCTTCTGAGTCTCTGAAGCTCGCTTTCTGTCCAGACTGACCTCCTGGCCGGTCAAGGGGCTTCCCAGGACGCAGGAACAGTTTTCTCTCCCACGGCTCCTTCCCAGGGGCCAGGTCCCATCCAGATTCCTTTTTCCCTTGGTTATATGGAGCTCTTTCTTGCACTTATGGGTGTCTGATACCTACTGCTGTCATTCAGTAAGGTATCACGTGAGAATCCATCCATGTGTAGATGTATTTCTGATGCATTTGTGGGAGGAGGTGAGACCCAGTCCTTTTATTCCCCCATCTTGATTCTTCCCTCCATACAATTTGTATTTAAATGTTCCACAGACTGATACTCCACTTTTGTTTTCAGTTTGACTCTGTGGCTGATGTATCTGATCTGTCAAGCAATGTTACCCTAAAAAGTTACACTCTGCACCTTGAGGTACCTCTGTGTGCTGCATAATGCATGCTCTCTGCATGATGTGTCAACTGCATGATGATAAGCCAAACAGTTTGGTTAAATCAGCTCAATCAGAACCCTCAGATGTTCAGAGTAGCTACACTCCTTAATGGCACATCCCAGAACCTAATCCTAGGGTGCTTTTCTTTCTGATGTGTTTTGGATCCACTTTATTTTGGAGGCTTTGCAACAAAGGGAACAAGGTGGGATGAGAAAAGAGGGAGGGAGGAGTCAAGTTCTGTACATAAATCCAGAAATTTTGAAGTGAACTACAGCGGTGCTCACTTAGTGAGTGGCCATGAGAACACTGCTCTTTCCTCTGGGGAAGGGGTTTTCGAGGAGGCTCTGTGCTGACGGCCATGAAGAGCTTACCTTTCTACCCTCACGCCTTCTCTACTGCTTTGCTATGCAGCATACCATCCACAGGGAAACAGCCAGTGCCCCAGACAGCACAGGAGCTCTTGGAGGCAGCAAGGACACCGGCTGTCTAGTGAGACCATTAGCTTATTATCTCACTTTACCAGGAAGTTGTGAGCTACAGTAGTCCTGATGTACTCAGTTTTGTAGGACATGGGAACTGTGTTCCCTTCATTGCCAGTGTATGACACATGACTTTCTATCTTGCTTAAAGCCCATTTTCTTTAGACCTTAGTCACCAACAGAACTTTCTCTTCAGGGCTTAGCTGATACCAAAATCCCCCGGTCTGGGACACCTGTGAGCATTAGGAGCAACCGAAGCCTGTCTGTTCTGCGCATCCCAAGTCAGAGTCAAGTCAGTCAGATCTATTCCCAAGGCTCTCTCCACCGGAGTGTCAGCCAACTCATGGACATTCAAGACAAGAAGGTCTTGATGGACGACTCGCTGTGGGAAGCCATCATGGGCCATGACAGTGGACTGGTGAGCCATTTCCTCATCCCGAGCCTTTGTTAAACACAAGTATGTCGATAAAGAGGTGGCATGGTTTCCTGTACCCCGAAGAACGATCATCTCCAGAACACTTACTTCATCCCTCGGACCACTTACCCAATTATTTTGTAACAACATGTTTACCTGCCTGAGTAGTGGGGGAGAAACTCTTATTCTTTTGGCACACAATAGAGGCTCAAAAAATACATTCATGTGCAAGGGAAGAGATGAACAGGTTCTACTTCATTAACCTGGGCAGGACATGACTGAAAACACTGGAACGGGCCTAAATGAGGCATAAAGTACAAGCTCCTATTTTACTAAAGGAGAAAGAAAAGATACCTATTTTCCTTCTGGTTTATGGTTAGAGGAGAAAGAGAATCTCTCAATAGGACCTAAGAAAAGATACCTATTTTCCTTCTGGTTTATGGTTAGAGGAGAAAGAGAATCTCTCAATAGGATCTACAGTTTCTTTTCAAAAAACTCAGAAAATCATTATAAATGTAAGAACATTGGTATGTATGAACTTCACTTTTCATAATTTCGGCCCAGGGGATACGAAAAGTTAACCTCATCATTATCTAATACTTGTTTGAGTCTCTAGCTCTGGTTCTACATTTGAACTCTCACTCACCTCTTCCCCCCCCCAACTCTCACTTTTCCTTTACTGAACAGTTGATGATTTTCATAAAGACTTCCTTAACTAATGGCAAGAAATAAACTTTCATGGCTCCAGATTTCAATCACACACACATACAAAATAAAATTTACAGTCTTTCTGGTTTGTTAGGATGATATATAATAAGGACTTTAAAATCATGGACCTGTTTGAAGTTGTGACGACTACTGAATTCCATGACTCCATTTCAGATGTGACGTTTCTATGTCAGGAATAATTATATTAGGTTGAAACAAAGAATTGTTAATTGATCATATTAGACATACAAAATGGCAATTTCATGTAGTTCAATATATTATATTGAGGGCTAGATGCATGTGTGCTCTTACTCAAGGACACAATCTAATAGTAATTTTTTTTGAAACTGGGGATCTTAAAAGTGCTGATTACAGTGCCCCCATTCTTCACTATTGTACTATGCTGACATTTTTGCTTACTTTTGACCATACTAGTAATACGCAGTATGCAAAGCAATTCAGTGAAAGCTTTTTAAGATATCCATATGTGGCAAATTATCTGTTCCCTATAACATTATAATCAGTATTCCTAGCCCTATTCAATTAAAAAAAAATACAGTAAGAAGACAGTGGACACAATGAAGCACAACAGCTTGCATTCTGGCTCTTCTGCTTAAATTCTGAACTGAATCATATGAAACCTCCCCACTTTCAGATGAGAAAACAGGCTTACACTGTGCCATGTCTTAACCTTTTAATGCTCAAAAGATACACATTTTGTGAACACTGTTGCCAGCAAATATCCTAACCAGTGGTGATTGGTGTCTTTTCAGTATGTGGATGAAGAGGACCTGATGAATGCCATCAAGGGTTTCAGCTCTGTGACTAAGGAACACACCGCATTCACCGACACCCACCTGTGAAGGAGGCAAGCCTGTAAGACACAAGCTGGATGCGGGCCCCACACCCCATCCCCACTGGGTTATCAGACATCATGAATGCTAAGGAGCTATTGCTTGTTATGCTATAATCCTTTAAAGATGAGTGTTTTTGAAATTACTTCTCCCTAATAGAGGACTAAGTTGTTTTTCTGGCAGTCTAAAATGAGGGGTTCCTGAAATTTTATGTCCAAGTGAAAACACTTATTTTGCTCTCCTTATTTATAATAGAGGACACTAGGCATGTAACTGTCACTTGGCTAGGTTTGGCAGTGACACGGCTATTTAAATGACTAGTCAGTGGTGATTTCAGGTTGGCCCACAGTTGCTACAGGCAAGTTCTAATTTGAAAGCTAAGGGGCTCTTCTGAGAGGCTGTAACTGCTGCTGCTCTCAGCCCCGTGCTCATGGAGGCTGAAACAAGCCTGTGAGGAGCAACTCTAGTCACAGCTGCAAAATCAGATCCCAATGTTGGATCAAGCCGAAACACTCAGAGAAAAACAAACTCTGCATTGAGGCTACACATTTGACCGTGCAGGTTTCCATTTGATTATGATGTTTAGGGGTAAGTATTTACCAAACTACATAAACTTATGTCTGTTCTTACATGTATCAATCTTCTAAAAATCTAAGGAACAAGCAGCTAACATATATTTCAAAGAGAAAAAAAATGAACTGTTTTGATATTTTACATAGTTTTGAAACTCCAGTCATTATAGAATTATAGAATTCCAGTCATTATAGAATTATAGAACTCCAGTCATTATAGAATTCTGTCAGTTCACTGAATACCCAGGAATATCTTCAACTTGGCACATTCTACACGGAAACTACTGTTTTATTTGCATTTTTAACTAGCCTATGTGGAATTAAAAAAATTATGTTCCTTCCAGCTTTGAAAAATTTTAAAATAAAACATATAAATATAGGAATATACATGTTTCATATATGTCCTATATTCCTTCATTTCAGAGAACTACTAGAATCACTAAGATCGAAAATTGGTACTTTAACTGTTAAAGTGACTCATGACCAATTTCCATGAGTCAAAAAAGTTTTTGTTACTTTATTTGGATTAGAAAGTTACTGGTAAGTCCTACCTCAAGAAACACTTTCCTCCCCAAGTAAACATAAAATGAAAGGTATTTAAGTTTATTCTTCACAGAAAACAGTGTAAGAAAACCTCTTCTTCATTCTTAAAGGTCTTAATGATTCTGGGAAGTTACTTTTGAGTCTGTAATGTCTCAAATACAATTGTTGGACATATTTTGTGAATTACATTCAGAGATAAGTAGATTTCCCCAAAGCTGAGCTGGAAAAACTTGGAGCACAAGCAATAACCTTGCTTATTCTGCCTGAAAAAAATGAGGAATCACAGTAACTGTCCAGCAGTCAAAGATAGACCACGGACTTTGAGAGCACTGAGACTTTATCCAGATTTGCGGAAGAGCAGCTCCTCAGAATGACCAACTCCTGGACAAGCCTTGCCAACAGTAAGTGTCAAAAGCGCACACCAGTGTTAAGCCCAAGCTCTGCCCCCACGTTAGAACTGCTACAAACAAATCCGAAATAATGGTGTATGTTTGGCAGTGGATATTCAAATTATATATTTTTCATCGCTAAATGTTTTATATTTTCTGACATGGAAACAGGTTTGGCTAATTTAGTTTACAGGTTTCAATTCCCATGTGTTGGTTTGGTCAGTCAGCTATTTAAAGTGGGCACAGATGCGCCTTGACCGAGGCTGAGTTTCTGTCCACAGCACACTGTTCCCTCCTGGTCCTGTCTGTGCATCCTTACCCTTGGTCTACTCCTCCACAAATATGAGGAGCTAGTTGTGGGTGGTGGATTCAGGAGAATGAGTACATCCTCACTGCTGGAAAGTTAACTAGACACCATCATCACATTCTAAAACTTGAACACAAACAGAACCGCAAGGGTTTTATCTTGAAATTTTCTCTACTTAGTCATCTATTTAGACATTTAGTTAGTGCATTCATTATTAGCTGACTCTTCCACATTTTGATCCCCTGGCTCATAGTGGACAGAAGCCTGCATGGCTTCCACCCACACCACCCTCACAACACTCTGAACATGACTTGTATTGATTTCAGAGAAGCACATGCTATTGTCTTGCTGCTTTAAGTGGTACAATGTGCTAAGCCTCCATTCAACAGTCAGACTCACCCCTAGATTTTCTGATTCAGCTGGTCTGGGGTGGCACTGAGGTGTCAGTACTTTTAAAAGCTTCCAGATGTTCCTAATGTGGAGAACCAGTTTTGTAAAGAACCTGAAAGAATACATGCGGTGCCCTGGGACTCCGGCCCTTGCCCACTTCTCCTTTACTGAGACGACACCAGGCAGCTCTCTGTAAACCTCCTGACTCTGGTCCCATCACATACTCAGCTTCAATTTCAAGATCTGCTTTGCTGTGTCTAACAGTAACTGATGAGAGCACACAGCTATGCCTGTGTAAGCTCAACTGAGAACTGTACTTATTGATGATCTATTGGCATTTCTACCTGAATGTGAAATCTGTTATGGTACCTTGTGCTGATCTAAAAATCATGTTGGCGTCAATATAATTCAACCTGAACAACCTGTAAATAAAACACAGTCCAGGTGGAATAAGTCAGCGAATAGGAACTTAATTATGTTACACGTGAATAGTAGTTTATTTCCAATGCACAGATATCATGTAAATTAATCAAAAGGTGGTTTGCTTAATAAATATTTAACTGTGGACAAAGTTTAATATATTTATGAAAAAATACTCTTAATAGCTCTGGGTTGTCTTTACAGTTTACACATAAAGGTGAGCCCATTTAAGAAAACAGGATATTCTGAATAATCCATGTACATCAGAAACAATGTAACACATTTTGCAAAACATGAGTCCCAACCAGCAGAGATACATATTTAGCAGATAACCGCAGGTGGCTCTGATATGTCAGCCTGGATGAGAAAGCCAGGAAAAGACCACAGGCTGCAGAGACAGACATGGGTTCATGAGGTGGCTCAGTAGCTAAGGAGCCTTGAGGTGAAGCTATTGATCCTCAGAGGGCCTCAGTAATCTCATCTTGAAAGAGGATAACAATACTTATCCAGTTGACATGAAAATACTTATTTCATAATTACTGGGAAAACCTGACACCATGAGAATTATAAGTCTGTTTTTCATCTGTCACACAAAGTATATACATAGATTCATTTTTTTTCTTCCACGTCTGTGTGTTTTGCAGTTTTTTTTTTTTTCTTGTAGCTGATTTCTAATCTCATAGCATTGAGGCTGGGAAAGATACTTGATTACGATTTCAATTTTCTTCAATTTACCAAGGCTTGATTTGTGATCCAAGATGTGATCTATCATGGAGAATGTTCTGTGTGCACTTGAGAAGAAAGTATATTCTCCTGCTTTTGGATGGAATGTCCTACAAATATCAATTAAGCCTATCTAAGCTATTGTGTCATTTAAGGCCTGTTTTCTTACTAATTTTCTGTCTGGATGGACAATCTGCCCATTTAGGTAAGTGGGGTGTTCAAGTCCCCCCAGTATTATTATGTTACTGTCCATTTCTCCTTTTATGTCTATTAATATTTGCTCTGTGTTTTGAAGTTTGCCTTTACCAGTGAGCTTCCCCATTGGTAATTTTGTTTCTAGTGTATTGGGCTTTTCCACTTCCTTTGACTTTTGCTGTAAAGCTGGTTTGATGGTACTCAATTCTTAGCTTTGCTTGTGTATAAGGCTTTCTATTTCTCTGTCAAATCTGAACAAGAGCCTTCCTTGCTAGGTATTCTTGGTTGTAGGTTTCTCCCTTTCATCACTTTAAATATATCATGCCTCCTGGCTTGCAGAGTTTCTGCTGAAAACTCAGCTGACAGGGGATTCCCATGTGTATTATTTGTTGCTCTTCCCTTGTTGCTTTTCATGTTTTCTTTTTGTCTTTTTTTTGGTCAATCTGACTACTGTGTCTCAGTGTGTTCCTTTTTGGGCTTACCCTGTATGGGACTCTGTGCCTAGTGACCATTTCCTTTCACATGTTTCAGCTAGTACCACTTCAAATGTTTTCTCTCCCTCTCTTCCTTCTGTGACCCCCCCTATAATGCAAATATTGGTGCATTTAATGTTATCCTAGGGGTCTCTTCCATTCTTTCTCTCATTTATTCTGCTATTGATTCCTTCTAGTGTATTTTTCACTTCAATTATGGTTCATCTGTTTGCTCTCTAGATCTTCTGGCTCTTCGTTTAAATTTTTGTGTCTTTATTCTTTCTCTAGGTTCTTGGATCCTCTTTACGGTGATTACTCTGCACTCTTTCACAGATAGGTTGGCTATCTCCACTTAGCTGTTCTGTGGGGGTTTCTTGTTCCTTTGACTGGGACATATTCCTTTGCTGTCTCATTGTTTACATTTCTGTTTGTATTTGTATGTTGTGTAGTCGCTTAGTTATGCTTCTCTGTCTTAGAGAAGGGGCCCTCTGTAAGGGGATGTCCTTTGGGTCCCAGCAGAGAGGGTCAGGGACCAGTTGGTCCCAATGTAGATTCTGATCTGTGTTATAAACTCAATTCTGCACAACTATACTTCCTCACTTCTGGTGGGCGAGGCTGGTCTCAGGGCTCTGTGCAGGTTTTCTGGGGGGAAGGGGCCAGCACCTCCTCACTGCTGTGTGCAGCAGGGTCTTGGCCCTGTGGGGGGCCAGCCTCTGCCAAGGGATGTGTCCAGAGGCGGCCGTGAGTCAGGAAGTCTGGGCAGCCTGTCTGCCGGTGGACAGGACCACTTCCCACCCTGCTGGTTGTCTCGCCTTAGGCGTCCAGCATTGGAGCTTACAGGCTGTTGGGTGGGGTCCCAGTGCCAAGGACTCAAAATGTTTGACTCCACCCAGAGTTCACAGAGGTCCCCACTGGATCAGCCACCAGCTTTTATGATGCCAGTGAGCCATATGGGGGGCTCCTGAATTGAAGCCCTGCTGGCCTGCCAAGCCCAATGCTCTGGAGGCTCCTCCTCCCAAAGACTGACCCCTGGGCTGGGGAGCCTGGCATGGGGTTCAGCTTCCACTCCTGTGAGAGAAGTTCTGTGATTTAATTATTCTCCAGTCTGTGGGTTGTCCACCTGAGTGGCA